GGCCCCGCTCGCCACGGGCGGCTGTTTTTTGTTCAATCCCACAGCACGAGGGTGCTAAATAGATCGATGCGCCCATGCGTAGATGCAGCCGCGTGCGCGAACAATGACTCTTGATGCCGCAGGCGTTGCAGCCTGAAGAGGCAAACGCTGCATCCTGCGTGACACCGCTTGAAGACAGAGAAAGTCAGGCCCCAATATGTGCCACAATCCGACCCCCTTCAATCCATCCTCTCTCATCCTTTTCTCACACCCCATCCCTTATCATGTTTCTTCCTCCTCCTCCTCCCCCTTCTCCTCCGCCTCCTCCTCCTCCTCCTCCTCCTCCTCCTCCTCCTCCCACTCCTCCTCCTCCTCCGCCCCCCTCCCTCCTCCCCTCCTTCTCCTCCTGCCTCCTCCTCCTCCTCCTCCTCCTCCTCCTCCTCCTCCGTCTGCCCACCCTGCCTCATTCTCCTCCTCTCTCCGCCTCTCACAGCCTCTCTCCTCCTCCTCCCGTCTGATCCGCAGCCATCCTGGCGCAAGGCCGGACCTCGACTCGAGGCTCTGCTGCAGAGGCGGCATGGAGCGCCGCCGGAGAGCAGCGCTGGGAGGCCAGTGCAGCTGCGGCCATGGGGAAGCTCCACACCATCGCTCCTCCTCCTGCTCCTCCTCCTCCTCCGTAGCCATTTTGGCTCAAGGCTAAACGTTGTGAACGGCTATAGACGCCCGAGAATCAACGATTAGCTTTCGAGTCCCTCCGGGGGCTTTTGTCGAGCATTCGGGCAACCGCCAGCTCAGAGGCTGGCTTCTTCTCCCTTCGGCTGATGACGCGCACCAAGCCAGTCTCTCCGTCCGATGGCGGCCATGCAGACGCCGACGGCGACGACATGACGGGCATCCTCAGCGCTCCCGTCTCTGTGGCTTCCACTCCGCGGGCCTGCTCAACTCTTTCCCCAGCCACCCAGATGGACACGCCGCCCTGCGACGAGTCCCCCCTCATGGCGCTCTTCCGTAACATGGTCAATAAGCTCTCGAATGTGTGCACCAGGGAGGACATGCAGCAGCTGCAGAACCCTCGCGATGCCCACGACGAACACTTCGCCTCGCTCGAGATTCGCATCGCGCAAATCGAAGGCGGCACCTCAGTGAAGATCACCGCCGCAGTGGAAGCGGCCATCCTCACAAAGCTCGAGGCCCGCCTTCAAGCATGTGAGCAAGCAGCATATACCGCCGCCTGTCGTTCGCGCGCCAGCCCATCATCGGTCAATTCATTTTCCACCGCGGGCAGTCTCAAGCGCCGTGCTGTGGGAAGCGACCATCCATCTCCGATGACCGCCAACCAAAAAGCCGACAAAAGCCGTGTATGTTTCGGTGGCTTCCCGCGCCGTGTCCTGGGGTCAGTGATGCAGGCTCATGCTCAACTCGTACTCTCCCAACTTCCTGCCACCTACTCCATCGGCGCCGAGATCTCCGCCAAGAACATGCAGATTAGCTACTCCATCCGCTTCTCCTCCCCCGAGATCGCCAGCAACGTTGTTCAGCATATGAAATCCAACGGAGTTGACTGGATCGACCCCCGCACCAAGGTCGCCATCACCATGCGCTGCCGCCTCGGCGCCAGTGCCGAGGCCCGCGCTCGTCGCAAGGCCCTCGGCCGTTTGTGGCAGGCCCTGCTCAATCACATGAAGGAGAACAACATGTGGAAGGAAGGCTACCGTCTTGGATGCAACGGGCCGCGCGGGATTCTCTTCATCCTCTTCGGGCAGGACGACGTCGAGGTGCTCGCCTCGCTCACCGACGTCGGTGAGGACAGCTACACCTTCGACATGAAGTACGACAGTCTCCAGTCCTTCGGCATCGATCGCATCGCTGCTGCCGACAGGATTGCAGGCTCCGCGCTCGAATAGGAAGTTCATCAGCTCGAGCGGGTTCCCGGCATTTTGTCGAGCATGGCACGGCCATGCAGGACCAGGCGCGTGGGGCGCGCCGTTTCTCCTGCCTCCAGTTTTTTCAGGTTTTTCAGGCAGCAGCAGTTCCTCTTCTTCCACCGCCTCGTACTCTTCCGGCTCCGACCCAGATGACAACCCTCTCCCCTTCGAGTTCTTTGACCCCAAATCGTATTTCCCATATGCGATCTCGGAGAAGCTCTCTATCGTGTCTTGGAATGTTCACCGTATGTTCAACTCGGCATGGTCCGACCAGAACCTTGCCAGGAAGAATATCGACGTCGTAAAACGACTTGAGCTACCCGACATCAAGTGATTTGTGCACAGGAAACCCTGGGCTCCCAGAAAGAATTCGACCTCCTCCTCCACGAACTTCACGGCGTCAGCGGAGTCGGCACTTTCTTTGAGAGACGCAGGTGGCTGCATCATCCTCTTGGGCGAGAAGCTCTGTCGTAATGTTCAGTTTGTTCGGCGCTCTGTGGTCCGCCGCGGCAGGGCTCATAAGGTTACCCTTTATGGCCCCCAGGGTATCCTCCAGATCATGAGTATTCACAACACCCCGACCATCCCCGTTCCTGCCCAGAAGATCTTTCTCTCCCAGGTTGCGCGTGCTCTACTCCAGCAGCGCCAGGCGCTCAGCTTCGTCGCAGGAGATTGGAACTTCTGCCTCGAAGGAGAAGGCTCCCATCATCTTTCTGGCCGTCTGGTCCCGACGAAGCCTGACATCGTCGGGCACGCGGCGCAGCTGTTCTCAACGCGCGCTGAAGTGATGCCAGAGATGCCCGCTCATCGCGTTGTTCAGGATCGCATGCTCGTCTCTGTTGCTCGTCTTGATCGCATTCTGTGTAACGTGTACACCGCCGAAATCCTCGACTTGAAGCCTAGCACGATGACCCTCGGAAACGTCGCAGATCGCACCACGTTGTCGGATCATATACCCGTCTGCCTGGCGTTCGCCCCGAAGCCCAGAGGCCCCCCTGGCGTCTACATCGTTCCGAAGTGGGTCCCAAAACACCCCGAGTAGCCCGCCGAGTGTGAAAGTGTGTTCCTGGAGGCCGATTCGCTGAGTTCGGATCCCTGGGAGCGTCTCGAGGAAACCAAGGGCCTCCTTCTTTGCGCTGCGCGCAATCTCTTGGGCCGCCTGGAGACCGCTGGCGCCGCCGCCAACCCGGAGAAGATCTCTTGGGGCCTCGCCCTGATGCGTGCTGTTCGTTCACAAAGTCGTTATCTTGCTCGTCGTGCCTGTCGCGCATATTCGGATCTCGCGCAGTTCCTGGACCTCGAGTTTTTAATATGGTCCGACCTGGGCGGGTTCCACCAGCATGTCAGCACTTTACAGCGTGCGCATCTTCAGAATGAAATCGAAGATGCTGAACAAAGATGCCTCTGCTCCTCCTGCTGAACGCTTGGCTCGGCAACGTCGGCTTTACCAGTATTGTTCCGCCTGGGCCTCTGGAGGCCGACGCATTCGGCTCGCTGGAATCACCGACCCCCAAGGCATCGAACACTCAGATCCTGATGAAGTGGCCAAGCGATCAGCACAGTACTGGGGAGATGTTAATCACCGGCATCCCTGTCTGCCAGACCAGCTCGAGCACATCCGACCCTTTGTGCAGACTGCCCCGCCTGTGCCTGAATTGGGGATTACGTTTGACGAATTTCGCAACATCCTCAACAAAGTCAGAGATTCCCCCGCAGGCCCAGACGGACTAGTCTACTCTGCTTGGCTGCGTGCAGGAGAAGACGCGCTTCTCACCCTGCGTCATGTCTACTGCGCGCTCTTTCACTGCCTGTGCGTTGGAGACGGCTTCAACCACGCCCTCGCTGTCTTCCTTGTCAAGGGCGAGGTTCCGCCTGATGTGTTCGCAGTATCCAGATCCGCGGACAAGACAAGGCCGATCACGCCAAGTAACACGTGCAATAAGCTCTGCTGCCTGGCTCTGAATCATGTCCCGGGGTATGTTTGTCAAGTGGTTTGCTGTAAACATCAGACTGGCTTTGTCCGTGGCCGCTCTATGTTTGACAATATTATTGGTTTGGAGGCCAGTATGTGTCACTACCTATGCCAACAGTTCCTACCTGACTCTGGTTGTGTTCTCTATGATGTTAAAGCCGCCTTCCCTAGCCTTCTTCACGTATATATTCATTGGATTTTGGAGCTCATGGAGATCCCCCCGAGGTTCCGAAAGGCCATCACGTTGCTCTACTCCCAATGTTGGGTCAGCGTCTCGAATTGCGGGGCCACGTCCTTTGGATTCTGGGTTACTCGAGGCATCAAGCAGGGGTGCCCATCATCAGGTTCCATATTCGCTCTCTGCCTCGACCCCGTCCTCCGCCTCGTGATCTCTCGACTTCCTCCCGACCATTCCCGACTTGGTGCCTTTGCAGATGACATCGGCATCGCGTGTGGAGACGTCTACCACGCGCCGACAGTCACCCCTCCGATTTGGTGCACCGCTGCCCGTGCTGCGGGGCTCTTGCTTAAGTTGGAGGGCATCCAGATTGTCATGCCCCGCTTGCCCGAGCACGCAGAGTTCCCCTGTCGCTTGCGTGCTGTTGGAATTCGAGGGGAGAAGTTTCAGCTGACGCACGCAGGAAAAGATCTGGGTCTTATGCTCGGTCTAGAAGGGTTGCACCAGTCGTGGCGGGCACCGGGCAGTAAGTACTTCGACAGGGTCGCCACCACCAAGGCCCTCCATCTCGGCCTCGCAAAAAAACCTCGCCAGATACAACCTGTTCGACTTTTCGACCCTCACTATCGTCGCCCAGTTCCATCTCCCTGATCATCGCATTCTGAATCTTGAGAATCGTGGACTACAGCTCCTGACTGGAGGCCCCTGCAATGCATATAGGAGTTCCCTCTTACATAGTCTTAAGGGTTTAGGCTTCCCCGTTCAAGCTCGTAACTTGTATATTACCTCCCGTGCCTCTATGTCTCGCCTATCCATGAGTTCCAAAGTTTTTCATGAAATGACTGAATTGTTTGGCCAGTACAGTGAATCCATGGAATGCGTTGTTGCGCGGGAGAGTCGCCCGCTATATTTAAACTCTAGCTTCCGAAGTCTGTGGGTGCATTTCACAGCCCTGTCTAGTATTCCCGATATCCCAGATTTTGGCTCGCCCGCGCTGCAGAGGAAAACTGCAGCCCTCCTGCTGTCTCGTGCCGCCGAGAGTCCTACCCCCACTATCTTCGCTCGAGCCGCGCACTGGTGCCGCATTTCGTCCGCCGAAAAAGACCAGCTGCTGCTCGCACTTCCTAGGATTGCCAAGAAGACACCACCGAGTGTCTTTGCTTCAGTTCTTCGCACGATTTGTAATGCTTGGGCGACCTCCCGACGCTTCAAGGGCCAAACAAAGCCATGTATGTTTTGTGCCAATGTAGAGTTGCAGCATTCCCTAGCACACATGCTAGAGTGTCGTATCCGGCATGATGCCGTTGCTCCCCTCCTTCCTCGTCTCCCTCCCTCTGCGGGGCCGTGTGGGGGCCGTGCTCTTGCCGCTGCCTTCCCGCTCCTTCCCCTCCCCGACGATCAGCTGTTGTCTTTCGCCCTTTTCATTGATGCTGCCTGCATCAGCTATCACACTCACAAATCAACGTCACGGCTCCGAGGCGAGTCCCGTTTCCGCAGAGCCCTGAAGGCCCGACTTTGCCAGGTGCTCAGGAGGCAACCGCCCCTCCAGGAGCTCGTGCACTAGTGCTTCGCCCCGTTCGATGTCTTCGAGCAGCTGGAGGCGTGGGACTTCGGACTCTTCTTTTCTCTCCCCTTTGTCTCGTGTCCGCCTCCGTCTTTCCCTTGCTCGCGTCTTGCCCGCTTGCTGTCCCTCGTGGCCTGTGCGCTCCCCCTCCTCCTCCTCCTCCTCCTCCTCCTCCTCCTCCTCGTTTGGACCTGCCTAGCCGAGGGCGCTGGCCTGGCAGATGCTGGTTTCAATGTTCTTGCCGAGGCTCGAAGGGAGGTCCTCGGCTAGCTCCGCGCCGTCTCCCGCGTTTGCCGCCACGGAGCGCGCAGCGCGTTCTCGGAGGAGTGGGGGTGCAGAGGAGAGAGCCCGGCGCTGCTCGCCTCCTCGCATCTGCAGGCAGGGCGACCTCGTGGACATCGTGGTGGACCCGTCCATTCACGAGGGCATGCCCCACCTTTCCGTGGCTGGACTGGCATCGTCTTCGGCGTCATCGAAGAAGAAAAAACGCCATAAATCTGCTCGCGCGACATAGGTACAGAAAGAACGGATAGAATGCCCAACAGCAGTTCCGGTTCATTCTGAACAGGACTCGCTGACCGCGCATCCGCGGCCTGCGTGCGTTTGAGACAGAAGGCCGCCTGCCCAACAGCGGCCGCTGTCGGTCCGGGACAACATTTGTTGTTTTGTACACATTTTTCCCGCACCCACTTTGGGCGTCCAAAATAAACATCAGCCCCCGCCGGGGGGCCCAGGCGCGGATCCGAGAAGTCCGCGCGGAGCGCCGAAAGTCTATGTTTATGTTTTTTTGTGCGTTCGGAAGTCAGTGGCAACGCTCTCGGCGTGGAGATGGCGAAGACTATGCGCGGCGGGCAGCTGAACAGGCGCATCCATGTGCAGGCAGAGCACTGCCATAAGTCCCGGTGCAACGAGGCATTTCCCTAGCGCGTCAAAGTAAACGACCACAAGAAGCGGGGTGCGAAAATTCTCGGCAAAAGCCTGAAGCGCACGAGAGAGCCGGAGGGACCTAAGGAGATGAAGATCGTCAAGGTCAAGCCCGAGGACGTCGCGGTGCTTGCGCCGGTGCCGTTTGTGGAGAACCACTTCAGAGAGTGCCCCGCTGCGACGCGGCCGCACGTCCGGGATCCAGCCGGCGGCTTGAGTGCGGGTGCGGTGTTCATGGTTCTGCCTCCTGTCCGATTTCCTCTTCAGCTGAAGCCAGGCCTGCGGGCCGGCAGCGGCCAGGTCGCGATGTTGCTCGCATGGTTTTTGTTTTGTTGTGGGCG